CCCGGGTAATTAGTCCCAATTTACAGATGAGGAAACTGAGTCTCAGATTAAGTAACTGGGCCCATGGTTGCCGAGCTCGAGGTTCTGACCCAGCTCTGTCTGCCTCCAGAGTGCCGTGTGCCCTTTCTCTGCACGTGCTGCTGATGTGGTCCCGCAGAGAAGCATCTTCAGGCAGCAAGAAAAGCAGAACCCTCCTAACAGAACTCTGAAAGGCCCCAAAGGCCACCTGCTGGGCAGGAACACTTGAAGATGTTCGTGTAAAGGAAATGGAGCCCTTCCAAAGGTGGTATTAGCCTCAAAAGAAGGTGGTAGCATAACAGAAGGGACAGGAAGGCATGAAGGAAAGCCCCAGGATATTTATTTTTGGGGGAACAGGGACACCCAAAAGGAGACATTGCTCTGAACCTTCTCCACATTCTGTGATCTAATCTCCATCCACACACCCCACTCACCTTCCCCAAATTAAAAGGATCCCCTTATAAGAAGGTCATCGTAAAGTAGAATAAATCCAATCGGAAATGACTGAGTTAGTGAGAGGGTTCTGAAATCCACAGGCTGGTGAGCCAGAAGCAGCCAGCCGTCCTCAGGTAGCTAAGAAGCTGGCACATGCCAAGAGTTAAGTTGTTCTGCAGCTAGAATCAGTATGTGGACATGCGGGGATGACACTGTAAGGCATAAGAAAGAGCTTTAGAGGCACAGATCTCATTTCGTATCTTGTCATCACCACTTAATAACCTTGTGCCCTCGAGCTTCGATTTTCTGCTTGCATGTTAGAAATTACCAAGCCTGTCCTCAGGGCATGTCACGGGAATCCTAAGGGAATGGATGGTTTTGAGAAGGTAGAAGTCCCTGGTTCCCGGAGGAGTGGAGCCAAGGTTGGAAGCTGCCCAGGGGAGGCTGCTCCGGGGAACGCTGACATCCCACCCGGGTGGGGTATATTTTGGAAATACTGGCCAGTGATTGTAGCTGGATGTCGGTGCCTCCCACGCTCATCCCTGGGGAGCTTGGCCAGGCAGTAGAACCTGTCCAGGGTGAGGGGTCTCAGAGAGACTGTGACTTGGATTTGACTTAGGTTGTTTTCCTTTGGGCGGGCAGGGGGACGGTTGCTGTTGAACCATCAGATGAGCATTGCCGGGGACACCCCCAGGGTCGAGGATATGAGAGAGTAGACCATGACGCCTCCCAGACACCCCGGGCAAGGAGCTCGCCAGCCTGGATCAGCGGCCCAGAGCCACCCAGGCTTGATGCTTTACCTCTGGGACTGGGGTTTGTCCACATGAAGGCTTCACCCTCTTTGTTGCCTCAAGAGGGAAGAGCTACAGGGCCACAGTCAGATGGGCCCACATCCTGTCTCTCATTGTGACCTCAGCCGCCTCGGGGGTTCAGTGCAGAAGTCCTGGCCTTGGCCTCTCAGCAGGTGTAGGTTCTGTAGCTGCTTTCAGGGTCTGTGGGTGTCCTTGCAAACACCCCCAGGGGGAGGCCATGGGGAGTTTGAGTTTTGGAAACAGAAAACATTTATTTGGGGTCCTAAATATATTAAATCCTGGGTGGGATCAACCAGGGCTGTGTGTTGTTTTAGCCAGAAACGCCAGAGAGCTTGTGAGGCTGGTGAGTCCCCACCAGGGCAGGGAGGTGAGTGTCCCCAGGAGGATAGATCACCTTGGTACATGAAGTACTGGCCCCTGGCTAGGAGTGGTGACTAAAGGGACAGACGCAGTGCTCATTTGAAGGTATTAATTGGGATCCATTTGTTAACAGAGTTGCCAGACGCTGGACGTACAGGCTCGACTGTGAGGTGCAAGTGTATTTTCGTCAGTCTTTTAGCCACTGTTCTCTTGTGATAGAAAGTCTGACAGGTCTTTTAAAGGAGTGGTTTCTCAAACTCCCTTGTAGGGCTCTGGGTGTGGAGGTGGGTGAGTTGGGGGAGGGCAGCTGGGAAGCAAGAGACCCCAGGGCTCTGGCTCCTGCGTCATTCCCTGCACATGTGCTTTTTTTTTTTTTTTTTTAACAGCTTTGTTTAGGTATAATTCACATACCAAACAACTCACCTGAAGGGTATAATTCAATAGCTTTTAATATATTCATAGAGTTGTGCAGCCCTCACCGCATTAGCAGGTGAACTTTTATCTGATTGCTTTTCTATTGTATTTGAAGGAGAAAAAGATTCTGCCACAAAAATCAGGTTTGAAATAACTGTTATAATCTTTCTGTGGTTAAGAACCTTTTGTGAAGAGGCTGTGATTTTCAAGTTCTATTTTAAACCCCAATGAGAATCAGGAAATAAATTTGGTATCTAAGACTGATGGGGTAAAACCCATAGCAACCATTCACTTTTTTCACAGGAGGGACATTTAGAGCCTCATTCAGCATTTTTTTAAAGTCCTTTTGCACAGTTCTAACATGGTCAGAGAAAATTAGAATGGTGAGTGGGGCTGCAGGAAGACCCATGGATGCAGCTGAAATAGGCCCAGTGGTCCAGGATCGGGGGAGGTCTCTAATTAGCAGATGTTCCTGCTTGGCGTAGGAACAGATCCTCGACACAGCCCAGCTGTCCCTAAAGGCATTAAAGTGGGGCATGAGGCAGTGATTGACATTCAGGGTAACGATCAAAGCAGGGTCATCGTAGCAAAGTGTTCATCAGAAACGGTTGAAGATTTAGAAGTCGGGGGTCAGAATGGGGTGAGCATTTGCTGGTCCTTGTAAAGACTTCATGCGTCTGGCACACTGTAAGTGCTCAATAAACATCCTGTCTGGTTTTTCTTTGGAAAGGCCATGCTGTAGAATCTCCTTCTCTCTTGAGGTTGGATAAACAAAGCATCCACAGACTGTTCCCACTTGTTAATTTGAAGGGCACTTCCCTGCCAGAGGATGGGGCTAATTAGATTATTTCTGGTTGACAAACTTGGTTTTCCACCTTGGAACACATGTTTCTTGCCTCTCCTCTCTTCACAGGATGTGTTCCTGATTCGAGGTGAAACCATGAAGAGAAGATAAAACAAATAATAATGCTTTTCCGCAATCGCTTCGTGCTGCTGCTGGCCCTGGCTGCGCTGCTGGCCTTCGTGAGCCTCAGCCTTCAGTTCTGTGAGTGTGGCTGGGCTGGCGGGTCCCGGCCGGGGGAGTGCTTCTCTCTGAAATAGAAGGCCCCATGGGGAGGAAGCACGTAGGTCCCAAAGCCTTTGTTCTTTCAATGAACAGTGAGGTTTCAAACAACCCAGTCTTTTTATTGTTGGTCCTAGCGGTGGGAGGCTGTGATTCTGTGCCTGTGAGGAACAAGAGCAATCACTAAGCCTCGTGATGCGTTTTTGGCTTCTCCCTGGATTCCTAAACTGCCTGGTTATTCCTGGATCTTTAGTTCAGGTTCCCAAGGCAAAGACAGTGAGTGGTCAGCTCGTGTCCTCGTGCAGGTCACACAGCAGAGGTGCCTGGCCCACCAGCTGGTTCTTTGGGGGTTGGGTGTCCGTTATTAGGGAGGGTAGGGGGATTAGGTCCCAGTACCAAACGCAGCCCCTGGGCAGCAGGGACCGTGCATGGGAAACCCCACATGGCGAGCACAGCTGAGGAAGCCAGTCCATGGGCCTCACCGCCTGCACTCTGCCCTTCACTGGGAGCCTGGGCTCAGGCTGGGCCCCAAATCTATGTGCCCCACTGCTCCCTGAGGGAGTTTGTCCTCAAATAACAGATCTGGTCTGGTACCTTGTTGGTTGTAACCCTTCAGTGGTGGGTCCCCAGGAGGCCCCTTGCCTTCCTGGGGCCCCTCTCTCACCTTGAACTTTGTGCCATAGGCTTGTCAAGTGGCTTGGCATTCTCTCCAAGCCACTTCTCTCTGCTCTGTGCCCGGATCCTGCCGGCCCCTCTGCCTGGACTGTCCTCCTCACCTCCCTTCCATCTTTTCCTCCACATGGTTCACTCAGCCCTTTCTTCTTCAGGAACGTTCCGTGACTCCCTAACTGGGTCTGGGCTTCTTGGCTGTACTTCCGGGGTGCCCCGAACCTGCTCCCCTCCTACACTAGCCGTGCGGTATCATACTTTTCAGTTCCTGTGTCTTTTCCATCTACAAGACTGTCTGCTCTTTGAGAGCAGGACCCACATCCGTTTCCCTCTTTATCACAGGAGCCAGCATTGCCAACCACACAGGAGGTGTCTCAGGAATGTTTACGTGAATGAATGAACCTACACCTGCTCTGGAAAGCAGGCTGACCCTAATTCCCTGTCCTTCTGGTGCTGTGTACTTGAAGCCGAGAAAATATCTGGGCAATGCCGGCAGCAGTGTTTTTGCTGCCACCTACCTGCCCTCCACTTCCCACCTCACCCCGATGGGTGGGAGACAAGGGCTTGGCCCCCATCACCGCCTGGGACATCTCTGTGAGGAGGTGGCGTTGCCGTCACTGGTCTGCCTGATGGAAGGAAGGGCAGGTGGCTGCGAGAGCAGGATGTTCTCAGTGTGCTGGGGGACGTGGGAAAGACTTGGCATTTGGAATAAGTGGTTTGAAGGGAAGAGGCTTTGAGCAAGTTTCTCTGCTTCCCCTCCAATTTGTGACATATTCCATGCACACATCTACTGCATATGACAGGCACTTCTAACAGTAAAGAGAATTAAAAATACTCACTTTATCCTAACAGAATAGAGAAAGAGGTCAAGAGAAGATACTTGTTTAAAGATACTCCAGATTGTTAATGAAGTGTTTAAAAAAAAAAAAAAAAGAATCTTTTCCAGGAAGTGTGTTAGGACTGTCATTCATTTAATTGTTTATAACTTTTCATTAAAAACTTTCCATCCTGTCACTGGAGAGGTAGGATGTTACAATCAACCTTGATTGTTATTCTGAGACCCTGACAGGTTCTGAGACGTGAATGTGGTTTACTTGTGTTTGCTGGCTTTCTCTTGCATGAGGTGGTTTCCGCATCACTCAATTGGCCTGGGTGTTTCGCTTACATAACTCTTCTGAAAGTACCTTCTGTTTTAGGAGAGCCGCTTTTTAGCTGTACTGTTTTTCGGGAAAATTTTGCAGGGTGAATTGGCCTGCCTGGGTCTGAGGTCTTTATTCTTGAATACATTGGAGTTCGGGAAGACATTAAGATATGAACGTTCTTTCTGCTCTTCTGCTTCTAGGTAAACTGTAACTTTGGAATTTAACTATTTCCGTGTGAAAATTGAGTTACATTGCTTTATTTTTTAGTCGCTTTATTGGTCGCTAATTATCATGGTGTAAGAAACTGGGCTAATTCGTAATACAAAGGTGTCTGCTTAAGTAGCGCTTATATTTTCATCCTTACCCTGAAATATATGGACTTTTTTCTTTACCGTTTCTTTTGACTTATTTTTGAATACTGGATTAGCGCATATAATTGTCTTAGGTGATATATTTGAGGCAATCAAATAGAACTTGGTTTTCTCATGTTTTAAATGAACAATATTGTTTTGTTTGTTTTCTGAAATGATTGTATATTTTATTTTGTCTTGTTGATAGTTTTCTTTTTCTGATGTTTTGAATGTGAGAAAGTTATGACCCAGGTTACAATGAAAAAATCAGGTTGTTTAAAAAAGCATTTCTTCCTCTCGGTACAGAGAGTGTGTATGTGAACCCACATATATTTATTAAGTGCTTATGTGTGTTGGATATTTTTCTACGCTGTTGGGGTGGAGGTGGTAGGGAAAGGATACAAAAAAGATTAAAATACAGTTCATAGTTTCTCAAACTACGTTTATTTTAAATGGTAGTAATGACTCCCTGTATGCTAGTAGACACTAATGAAAATCATTCATTTTGTGTTTTCAAGTCCTTGATGTTTTTGAGTTTGGAAGGGACTCTGAAATTCCCTATATTCAGATCGAAGAAGGGAACAAGTAAGGTATATATTTCATTAGTTATTCTAGTTAAAATGTGTACAAGTGGAAAAATAACTTCTCAAATTGATGGACTTCTTTGGTGCGACAGGAAAACACCACTGGGTTATGAAAGCCTGTGGATGATTCGTTATTTTGCTGCTTTTTCTGCTCGTTTGTGATCGTCCATTTTCCTGCTTTGACCCACCCTTTCCTTCATGCTTATCCTGTGCTCTTTTCACCACGTTCCAGCCACCATTCCCAAAATGGCAGTGTGGCAGGAGCTCAGCTCGCAGACCCTGGAACCACAGCCTTGGGTTTGAATGCCGCTCTGCCACTTAGCAGCTGTGTGCCCTCGGCAGGTGTGGCCTCCTGGAGCCTCTATTCCTTCTTCTGTAAAATGGAGTGTTCATTGTTGCTCCTTTGAAACACTGGCGTGAGAACGGAGATTTTGTGGGAAAACCCTTGGCTCGGGGAAGCACAGTCAATGTAAGCAGTAGAGTCCTGTCATGATATGTCATCACCAGAATCCAGGGCTCTTGGTGTCCCAAAGGCTGCTTCAGCCACTTATGGAGAGAGCTTTTGAAACAGTATATCATGCATTTCTTTCTTTTTGATCAGAGTTCATTGGCCGTGATAGGAGTCAGTCTACACTGGGCACCTGTATCTTGGGCAGGGCCCTGGTTGACCAGAGCAAGTTTCTAAGGGAGATGTCCAAGGTGGACTGGAAACGCAGATCCCCAGGTAGAAGAGGGGAGGGTTAACCTGCCAAAGTGAAAGCCAGAGTGAAGGCTGTCTTCAGTATCTGCAGAGCCCTATCTCTCTCCAGTATCTGCAAGAGGAGTGAGACCAGCTCTGTGTGGCCTGGTGGCCAGGGAGACACATTTTAGTTAAGCATCAAGCTAAGCTTCCTGAATGTGATCGTCCGGCGGAAGGGGAGCGGGCTGTGTGCGCACCCTGGAGCATCGCTCTATGAAGAATAGGACAGTAGGCAGGTCACTGGACCTGATCCCATTTAAAACCTCTTCAGACTCTGAGGTTTTGGGAATTTTATCTTTCCTTGTCGATCCAGTGCCATGAGTTTGCATAGCTTTGTCCTTCAGCAAACATTCCACTGTGTGCTGGGCCAGGGCTGGGCGTTTCGTCTCCTAGGAGCCACAGGAGCTCTCCGCCTGGTGGAGGAGCATCCCGAGCAGATACCTGGAACACGGTGTACAATACGCTAGGACAGGAAAGAGGCAGCCCCACGAGGAAGTGGGAAAGAACGTGGACTCCAGCGCCAGACTGCCGGGGTCGAGTCCCTGTCCTGCCACTTACCAGCTATGTGAGGTCAGGCACGTTACCTACCCTCTCCGTGCCTCTGTTTCCTCATCTGTAAAATGGGGATAATGAGAGTTCCTATTTCATTGGGTTGGTAAAGGATATTTATAATAATATAAATATAATACTATATTTAATATTATTTTAATATAAAATAATATTTATAATATCCTGGCACATAATAATCACTCTATGCATGTTTGTTAAATAAAATGAATGAGAGATGACTCGTGACAGGGTGACGTGGGCGGAGGAAGGACAAGAAGCCGATCCAGCGTAGGAGATCGGGGAAGACTCATTCCCAGAGGAGGTGACATCCGAGCTTCAGCCTTGAGGGATGAGTTGGAGTTGTCCAAAGAGGAATCTGGGAAGAGCATTCCTGGCAGATGGAGGTGGGTGTGCAAAGGCAGGGCAGGAGAGAGCAGGACCAGGTTAGTCACCGGTGTGTAGCTGTGAAGGTGGACAAAGGCCCAGGCCACCTCCATCACCATGTTATATCATGAAAGTATGGGGAGCCACTGAAGCAGGGAAGACAGCATGTCTGGGAAAGACCACAGTCTGGTACAGTGTTGCCGAAGAGTGGTCTCCTGAGCACCTTGATCAGAGTAGCCCCGGGCGTCTGTTAGAATGCGTGTTCCAAAACCAAAAAGAGAGCACATTTGTGCCCCTCCCCAGAGAATCAGAACTGTGGGAGTAGAACTCCCTGGGGCTTCTAATGTACACAAAATTTGGGTGCTGCCCGTTCAGAGGCCGGTGGGAGGCTGATACTGAGAGACAACTCGGAGCCACTTTCCTCCTCCAGTTAAAGGCTGGGAGCGGCTCCGATGAAGGTGTTGGCCCCGAAAGGAAGGAGCAAAGCTGAGAGCATCAGGTGGTTCTGTGGACTTTGAGCTAAACGATCAGGCGGTGGTGCAGCGGGCCCGGGGTGAAGAAAGAGAAGCGAAGGCTCTGCCACGCCTTGTAGGGCTCAGGCGATTCAGGGGATGCTGGCTTCATTCACGCATCCACGCAGCCGCTCACACCGACGGCCCCTCCACCGGGCTTAAGTGTGCCAAAGGCCGAAGGCAGTACCCAGCGCACATTCTGGGAGGTGGACCATGTGGAGCTGTTGGCGGTGGGGGAGGAGGCCCGGGGAGAGCAGTCTGAGCAAGCGGAGAAGCAGGGCAAGCCCAGGCAGCTGGGTGGGAGCGGAGCTGGGTGAAGAGCTGGGGCCTCCGCCTGCTGCCCTTCAAGCTCGGCCGTTGGCATTTGCGGCTCCGGCTCGTCGTGGGCCCCCCCGAAGGTCCGTGGCGTATGGCGGCGGGGATTTTGCTGAGGCACAAATGCACATAATCATAGCTGTGAGTGGGCACCTTGGGCTGGTCCTGCGTCCCACCCTGCAAAGCTGCGGGGCTTTGTCATTCTCCCTTCTCTGTCCTGTGTACATTTTATGGAGGAAAGCACGTGTCCGGGTGATGTGTGTAAATTTGGGGATTCATGAAGATCTTAATATGTTTTGGTGGCAAAGGTTTGGGGATGCAACCCTTAGGATGCCAAGGCTCTCATGTACTGTGTATTTAAAAAACGCAATAAGGTTCCTGCTGGGTTTTTATTTTGGTGAGTCAAAGTCCAAAAAATGAGAAATTTAAAATGAGGGCTTGCATTTTTAACCTAAGGGTTCATAGGTTCTAAATAAATTCTTTATTTAGTATTTTTTAAATTAATCTTGATCCTTTTCTTGGAGATTTATTTTCTTTGATTTCTGAGAGTTTTAATGTTGCTTTTTCTTTGAATGTTTCATGCCCAGCTACCACATAGAGTGAAATATCTTTGGGTAGGAAAAATTCTGTAGGTAAATGACAAAATTAAGTCTGACAAATCAGCTTTTATCGTAATGTCTTAAGCTCATGTCATAGTTATTATTAGAGGAGGTGAGAGTATCATGTACCACGCAGGCCCTTCCACGAACTAAAAATGGGACACATTTATGTCCGTGGGTTCTTTCTAGTTTTCTTCCAGGGTGGGGACATTGTTTCTGTCTCTGTCTCTGTCTCTCTCTCTCTCTCTCTCTCTCTCTCTCTCTTTTTCTTTCTCCCCCCTGCCGCTTCCCCCTCTCTCCCTCACCCTCCTCCCTCTCTCCCTCCCTCCTTCCTTGTTTCTGATCTTAGAGAATTTCTCCTAAGAATGGACAGAGGACAGAGATGTATGCTCAAAGATGTTTATTGCATCACTGCTTATAATAGGAAAAAGGGGTAGACAACCAAAGTGTCCAACAGGAAATACTGCTGCATCCATTATACCATGTTTACATAGACCTGTCTACATTGACTTGGAAGGTTGTCCATATGTCTACTAAAAGGACATGTGGTACTTTTATGTGTGTGTGTGTGTGTGTGTGTGTGTGTGTGTGTGTGTGTGTGTGTAGTCAGCAATATTGATAAGAAGGGGAATCTCCCATTTTAGAGGAGAGGCAACTATCCAGCCTAGTTAGTAAAACTAGGAAGTGTTAGTAAAATGAGTCAGTGAATTCAGGAGAACGTGTGCCCGTCGCCAAGACTGTATGAGGAGAGAGACAGTAGGAAAGGAAGCTGCAGGATGTTGACATTGGAGTACCCACTGAGTGGAGCTGAGCTGGTGATGCAGTGGGAGTCTGCCCAGGTAGCGTTTGCACTGATCAGCTTGGGCCCCACTCCTGTTGTCTTGGCAACAGGGCTCCAAGCTGATGACGTTAAACAAAAAGAAACTTGAAGTGAGGTAAGTGGTAATCAGAGGCAGAGCCCTGTGATCTTGGTAGTGTCCCACCAGGGGGAAGGGGTTGGAGGGGGAGGTTTTTGAGACTGATCAGCAATGAGGTCTTGGGGGACAGAATCTGAACCCCAAATAAGAAGGTGAAGTCAGGAATGCACACAGAGAGAGCTCTGGAACAGTCTCACCATCCTTCCTGCCAGCGTGGCCCCGGCACACGACGCCTCACTGGGGCCCAGCAG